TTTTGATGAAATGGCAGCAACATCAAATGCAATGTCTGGACGTGTTTGTCTTGCTAACCATAATAATTGTCCTATTTTTGACCTCAATAGAGTCTGCTCTGATGATGAAAGAGGAGACGTTTTAACTCTGTCTTTATCTATTAAAACAGTCTTCAACATTTTGACATAGTCTTTCTGGCTGAGAACAATAGTTTCATTTTCTTGGCTGAGATCAAGACCCAAATATTTGAAAGACTCACAGGATTCTTTCCCTACCTTGAACATATCCCTAATTCTGGATACAACACTTTCCTCAAAGGAACTGGATCCTGCCCAAAGAAAGTCATCTACATGAACTGCTAGGACACCAGTCAAACCTTTTTCATTATACCAATAAAATACTGCTGAATCAATCTTTGACACTGTTCCTCCACAATCTAGCAATGTTGTTTTAACTTTTTCGTACCACTTTAAGAATGCATCAGCAAGACCATATACACATTTGTTTAGGCGCCAGACTTTACCATTTACTTTAGCTTCTTTAGGAGGTCTCAAGTAGACTTCTCTTTGCATTTTCTCTCCTTGCAGGAAAGCAGTTTTAATATCCACTGAATTAATTGACCATCTTTTATTAGCAATAATTGATAAAATCAGTCGTAGAGACTTGCTTTTCACATGTTGGAGAATTCTTTGGTATCTCATCTAGGCTGTCTTCTTCAAAACCTTTTGCTACCAATCTAGCTTTTCTATGAAATTCGTTTTCCAATTCTTTCATAGTGTAAACCCACCTTGTGGAGATACAGTTTTGACCATTGTCTTTAACTTCTTCATACACATTGTGCTTTCTCCAGTTATCCAGTTCTGCCTCTTTAGCCTCGGTAAAATCAATATCACTTAAAAGTACATCTTCATTCTCGTCATCTGACTGGTTTACAACTTTTAAATCATTGACAGTTCTTAGATCAATTGAAATCTGTTCACCCCTAATATTTTCTGGCTGATTGTATTCTATATTGTACCAGCTCTTCTTATCAGTTGTAGCCTTTCCTGCCCTGCCTAAAATTATTGCTTCTCTTGTGTCATTTTCACCAGTAATTTTAAAATTCACCATCTGATCCTTCTTTAATTTCATACAATCATTTGCCTGTGACTCAGCATTATGTTCCATACTTTCCTCATGTATATCATTCTCTGCCTGATTTAAATCAAGGCTGTCTCTCTCATCAGATTCAGGACTATCTTCACCATTCAAACTACCATTCTGGCTACCAGCATGACTATCATCTTGATCAGCACTATCAGCAGCACTCTCGTCTGTAGATCCTTCAACATTTTCTTGGTTTTCATCATTGTCAGTATCATTGTGAAGAGGCTCTTCATCATCACTCTCATAGTATACTAGGTCATGATCTGGTTCAGTGTTGTTGTTGTTGTTATAGGTTGCAGCTTGCGACTTACGCACATGAGTTGACTTTGCTGTATGCTTATGAGTAATCTTTTGTTTTCTTTCAACATCAATGTCTCTTTTTATTCTACTTTCATGTACGCGCACATATGTACCTCCATATCTTACAAAAACAACTACATTATCTTGACCTATTACCCAGCCAGGTCCTTTCCACTGATTGTCTCGAAGGAAGAAAACTTTGTCACCATTTTTGAATTTTTCTCCTGAAGGCCGGATTTGCTTGCGAAGTGCCCTTCTAACTTTCTCAGAGGATTCTGCCGCAATAAATGCTTTTCTAGCTTCGTGTAAGCCAACTAGATGTTTTCCCATAATGTTACTAATGGTTGTACCTTCTAATGCAGGAGGCTTGTTAACTATAGATGATGGCATGTTTGGGTTCCTTCCAAAAACTATTTGATATGGACTATAGCCATACACGTTCAACAAACTGTTCTTAGCATGAACTGCCCAACTGACGGCAGTCTCCCATGAAAGATTAGAGCTCTCTCTCATTTTATTGATGGTTTCTGTTAGAGTTGCATTGTGTCTTTCAACTACTCCATTGGACCATGGACTGTATCCTGCTGTTGTTTTTACTGACATATTCAAATTTTCTGCCATGTCTCTAAATATCTGAGAATTAAATTCTCCTTCATTATCTGTATAAACACCAACTTCAGGTGCACCATAAACACCAACCCATATCTGCATGAACTTGTCTTCAATAACTTTAGAATCTTTTCATCTGATGATAGCAGCTGCACTCAATCTGCTGAATAAGTCAATAATATGTAGATAATAAAAGTTATGGTCAATTTCATGAAGTTCCATTGCCACAATTTGATTGAAATCATTTGCATGTGAAAAGGCAACCACTGGTTTGGCTTTTGGATGTTTGAACTTGTGGCAAATTAAACACTTTGAGCAGATATCTTTAAGAATTGTCTTTGATTCAGAATCAACATCACCAGCACTTTGCAAAAGGGATAAAAGTTTATCTGATGATGCATGTCCAAACTGCTTGTGCAACTTCAATAGAATCTCCTTTTTCTTCTTAAAAGATAATTTTGTATCAATGCACAAAACCTCCTCACTCTCATTTTTGTTTCTGTTTGTATATTGCTTGTCTTTAATGTTGATACAGTAATGACCACTTGAAGTTAGGTTCACATCCACTAACTGTCCAAACATGGTAGCCTGGTCATTGCTGAGATCAAGGATAGTGCTTGCTCGCTTCAGAGAGGTTTTACTTAACAATAACGGTATTTCACAATCCACTACTTCTGTTTCAATTGAGCACTTAACTGACCCAATTAGTGCTGGGATTTTCACTTTCTGATATGAGTATACTGTTTGTCCATCCCCAAACTTGAATGGTACATGACTTTCAAAACAAGTAATTTGATCAAGCCCTGGATCAAGTGATTCTACAAATTCATACAACCATTTAGAACCACATACTGTCTTAGAACATGCAGTATCAATAACTGCGGCATTGTAGGCTTCTGAGACAAACACTGTTAGAGGCTTAAATTCTTGTGCTGAGGTAAATAATGTTATATTTACAGTTTCATTTAATTCATCACTCTCATGTTCTGTTAAATTTACATCAAGCTGCTTGTGAGGACAATCCTTGACCCAATGAAATTTGGAATCACATATTTTACATCTTGAGACATTACCATTAAAGACTGGATTCATTTTAGTCTTAAGTCTACTAAAGTTGGTAGATCTATCAGCTTGTTTACGAGGAAAATTTCTTCATGAACTTCGACCTCTCTGATAATAGCCATCACTGACAAAAGCTGATTCTTCTTTAACAGTTACAACAGAGTCTCGTTCTCCAGGAACATTTTGAGATTTTGATGCAAATATCCTATTCAAAGCAGATTTCATTGTGTCGAATTTAAGGTCAGAACATGCAGTTAATGCCAGCTGACGATAACTTTGACTTAATCTAGCATTGTCCAGAAGTTTAAAAGCTAGAATTGCGTCTGGAAGTCCCATATCATATTTCTTACATTTATTATATCTCTGCTCAAATTCAATGATATAATCAGACATGCTTACATCCTCTCCTCTGTGGAACTGATCAAATACAGTATAAGCAGCATAAGCCTGATCTATTTTATCCTTCTCAAAAAGCTTGTCCAACTCAGTTATTAGCTTATCTACTCCTTCATCAACATTTGAATCACTGGGATCTACTTCTAGGGCTACTTCCCTTGGTTTTCCTTGTAACGACAAAGCTTAAGCCAAACCTCTCTTCTTCTTGTCCAGATCAGTCACGAGTTGCCACATTTTTACCTCATTTTTCCATTGTTGATAACTCTTATCTTTGGTCAAACCTGGTGGGTTCTTGTAACTAGGTGCTGTTGCCATCTTTATTAGCTCTGCTACCACTGTTAGTTGATTAATTATGGCTTCAATATAAAATCTATTGTCTAATCTAATGTCTTTACTAATCTATAAACAAAACCCACCAAGTAACATGTACCTGAAAATAATATAAACAAAATAATAGAAAACACAATAGTTAACAAGTATGTCAGTGCTAAAAACATAAAAATATTGATTTATGTCAGTATGTCTTGTACAAAATACAGTTTGTCAGTGCTTAATACATAATAATATTGATTTATGTCAGTATGTCTTGTACAAAATACAGTTTGTCAGTGCTTAATACATAAGAATATTGATTTATGTCAGTATATGTCTTGAGTACAAAATACAGCATGTCAGTGCTAAATACATAAGAATACTGATTTGTGTCAGTATGTCTTGAGTTCAAAGTTCATTATGTCAGTACTAAATGCATTAAAAACTTGATTTATGTCAGTGTATCTCTTGAACAAAGTACAGTTAAACCATGTCTTACAAATGAATGGAGTCCAATTGAAGCATCTGTCAACAAAGTTCAACATAACTTGTTTTAGTCAATATGGGAGTTCATTTTAATCTTCTTGTGTGTCCGTTAGAGGTGGCTATTAACTTCTGAGTAAAGTAGAATCTTCTCTTATATTAGTGTTGGTTACTGAATTCAGTAGAAACATTTCTAAATAGAAAGGGTCAGTATGGTCTCTTGTGACTGATATGTTCTAGAATCATAAATACAGTAGAAACTTGTCAGTAATGTCACTTGTAACTAATACAGTCTAGCTATGGAATATAAATACAGTAGAAACTTGTATCTATAATTGATTGATGCTTTCTTTTTACTTTTAAGTAGACAATGAAGTTTTCTCATATCTAGTATTAACTTCTTAGAACAACTTGTATCTTTTAATCAGAATTGAATTTTGAAGTAAATAGCACACATTCCCTTATTAGATAAACAAAATCAAGATAAAAAAAATATCAGTTTTCAAATTGCAAACATAAGTAAAAAAGGTCTTGTCTAATAAATGTGGTAATGAACACAATAAATTATGACAAAGTTATTGGGATATATCAACTACAGGCTTTAAAAATAATTATTACTTGAGGTCAGTTAGGAGAAAATTATTCTGGGAGTAAGAGAGATAACTCCAACTTAAATTGAGTCAGCAATACTAATTTTTAAAACCACATTCAGTTTCAGATGATAAGTGAGTCAAGCAAGGTAAAATGTTTGATTACTAGTCAGTTATTGTAGCCTTAAATTAACACAGATTTTATTATTCAACACCTTTCCTGTATGTAGAAAACTAATGCTTATTGACAGTTTGTATGCTGATAATGAAGTATATATATATAATTTTCACTTTGTGTTGCTTTCAATTTTGCCTCACTGTAGACATACAAATGCACTTAAAATTTGGATAAGTGTTTTTTATGCCCTGCAACTAAAAGTTGGGGGGCATATTATTTTACCCCTGTCCGTCCGGCCCATTATGGCCCATTATGTTGAAGGTGTGCAGGTGTGGTAAGGGTTTTGATTTTTATTAATATTTGCTCTTTTGGGAGATAGTTGAACTTTGTCATTTTTGGAGTGTATACTTGCATAAGAGGTGCATAGGGTTTTCGGATAACTCCTCCTACAGTGAATCATAAGACCTATGTGCTCCCATACGTTGATCAACTTTGTGTATTTTGAAATAACACTTTGCATCTGCCGGGGCATCATTTGTGTCTCCCAGACACAATAATATTTCAAAGAAAGTCTTACATTTACTTTGTTATAATACAGTAACTTCAGAGAGGAGTGTGGGGGCATCACTTTGTCTAGTCTGTATAGAGATACACTATCTGTCTTATCCTTCCTTAGTATGTCTGTCATTCCTATACAATTTTTGTTGCACTTTTCTCAGTAACAACGGAGCTTCCTGAAATTTGGTATCGTGATGATTTTAACGATATTTATTATTATTTTTCATTCATTTTGATAGCAAAATAGTAATTTTTACAACAGATCAAATGCAACATAGAAAATCAGTATTTTTCTTGATCAATTTTAGAACATTAAAAAAGAATGACATTTCAGAATGTGTTTACTCTCTTTTGTCCTAAGTAAAACTTCTTTAATTCAAAACATTTAAGGCTTAATCTATAGTCATAATTCCTTTAATTGAATAAACAAAATTACCCTGTTATGATTTCATTTTCATTTTATTAAAATTTTCTTCTACACAATAACTGATTATTATTATTGGTCAACAAACTGATTTCCTATGTACCCAGTGATGAGAAATATTAACAACAGACTAACAACAGACTGTTGTTTTCATAAACATAATGACAAGTGTTTTATATTACTGTTTTGATTAAACATATATTGTTTGATAACTTGGACCTTGCCATGTCATCATATTATTGATTTTTTATTGTGTAGATTTACTTTGATACCTTAAAAAGGTTTGAAAGAAAAAATGTACTTTTATTGCTTGAAAAATTAAATTGCATTATAGATGGGGGGTAACTCTGTTTTACTTAAACATTATAGATGTCTTAGTTTATGGGAGATAACTCCACATTTCTTGTAATTTTTTTCTGACGGGCATTTTAAATAGGTGGATTTATACCATAAACATTGACAACATACTTTTTTTTAAGTACAAACAGGAGAAATTTGCCTGATCTGTATTCATATTTGCTAAACAACAGTTAATAAAAGACTGATAATTTTTAAGTTAGTTCTGGTGTAGTGATAAGTGATTGTTGTGTTAAAAAATAGGAAATTTTATTACTTTGATATATTTATTGTTGTTTTCAAAAGTATGTTCAGTGTTGGCATATTTTTTGCCAGTTAATCAGATTAGAGTACAAACCAGGCTTTGGCAACGATATGTTCTAATTTCTATTTTGAAGAGTTTTTTGGATCATCAGGTCATGTTGTAATGATACCTACTTAAAAAATTTCATGGTTAATCTAACAATTATCAGAACAGAAAGTAGAACGGAGCGTTGTCAGATTCTTGTAAGCCAAGCATGGACACATGATCTGTACTTCAATGGGATTGTTTACCAGTGAAAAAATCAACTTTGAAGTCAGTGAAAGGGAAGAAAAAGGGATAATAGTTGTAAAGGTCTGCAGACATTATATACAGTTCATATTTACTTGAACATATGGTGTAAATCTTTCAAAATTGGCAACTTTATCTATGCATTTAATTGTATTCTACAGGCAATAAATTGATGGTTGTCACAATTCATTTGTAAAGATGAGCAGGACTTTTCTGCATAATGGAAGAAGGGCAAAGAATGTTTTATTCTTTTGTCTGATTATACCATGTATACAAATATGTTACAGATTCTATCCTTTATGCTTTTTGATTAGTAAAACATGCATGAATGAGTTGGCAAGTACTCATCAAGTCATGCCTGAAAAATAATGGACATCATACCATCATTTATGTTATTTGTAAAGGAGGATTCCATAAAATATAAACCCTGTTAGATCTTTCTGGTAAAGAATTGTTCTGCATTACTGCAAAATGATTTTATTTATGAAAGACATCAAAAATTTGGACAGTCATCACAGTATGCTGAACAGACGTATAGATGTTGAATTTCAAATTAATATAATTAAAAAAGATGCAGACTTTATACTACTATGTATGTTCTACTTCTAACTTGTGATAAAACTCAATAAAAAAAGTACATTTGGTTCCTGCATGTTTTCTTCCATATTTAGTATGAATAAGGCCATCACTTTCCTCTTTTGGATTGTTTTAAATTTTGTCAAATGACGACCTTTTATAGCTTACTTTGAAGTATGGATTTTGCTCATTGTTAAAGGCAAGTATTTGTTCACAACTTTGTCCTCTGGTCTAGATTTAATTAACAGTTGTATCTTTTGCAATGATTGCATACCACATCTATATAATACAGGATGCCAAGAATACATAACAACCATGAAAATGAATGCTAGTTTTCTTATTACATGAATTGATATAATAGAGCAATAAACATTCAGTCTTTAATCATTTATGTAAATAATACTGGTAGAATGGTGAAATATTGATTTTCACAGTAATAAGCATCTACAATAAAATGTCATAGCCACTTAATCTCATGGGACAATGTGGGCTAATGTTTTTTAACTTTTGGTAAATAAGTTTTTGACAACAGGAAATTATTTCACCCTTAAGTAATTATTAACTCCAGTGGGGATATTAATCTATATTGGGACAAAAGAAATATGTATACATGATTTCTCACATTGTTCAGATAGAACTTTGAGATATTCCCTGTGAGCAGTGAACCATTGAAAGTAAACATGTGCTTCCAGTGATCAGCCTTGATGCACACACATGATCAGCTTTGTTTGAATTTTGGTGGTGTTTTTGGATATTTTTGACTCTTGACTAGAACAGATCATTATTTTATATGACCTCCAGTATGTCTAATATGGAAGTGGTAAGTTTATAAATAACATGAACTTTTGACTGAAGATCCTTTGTTTGTCATGTTATTCTTCCTGTTTCCTTTGTATAGATCTGTGTATTTGATCAAATGTTTTCCCTATAATGTTACTGATAGCTATCAGCTTATACTTTTTTTTATGTTTGAGCACTTTTCTTCAAAGGTGATAACATGTAGTTCTCTAAATATCACTTAATTGAGCCTTATTTCATTTGGACATGTTAGAAGCAACAGTATAAAACTAACTTCAGTGAGCTAACAAAAATAGATTATTGTAAATTTATTTGAACTTCAAACATGTTTTTTGTGGTAAAAATTATCTTTTTATTATGTTCAACTGTCTGACACTAATTAGCATTTGCAACAAGAATAAGAATATTTATTATTCCAATCAAGGGCCCTTGGTGGGCAGCATGACATGTACACATCATGATTTGTAACAGAAAAACATTTTTTTTTATACATTGAAATGAAACATTAAAACGTTCAGACATGTTATTATCTCCATTCTATATAAGTCACATACATTTAATTCCAGGCAGGACCAGAACCATAAAATCATTACAATTTTGCAACATGTTTATTTAATATAAGTACCTCCTAGCTAATTTAGCAACCAAAATATTACCTAAGCAATATTTCAAACTGATTAACATTTTACAACATTGATGTGAAGTGATATTGTCTAAAACTGAGGACTTTTCAGGTCTTATTTTAATGAGGGTTGTAAAGGTAGGATATAATTATGTGCACAGAAGAAATTTAAAAGTATTCAGGTCAAGATGAACAAGAAATAAATTCTACCCATTTTCACAATAACCTCAAATATAAGTCTTATTTAGCCCCTTGAACATGTTGAATTAAAATTCATAAATTATTATAAATCTTACAAATAAAATCCTTCAGATGCTCACATGACATAAGTCTGTCAGAAGCCAGATTTTAAATATTTTTTAACTTTGTACATTTCTGCTTTAGGGCTTCAAACATCATTCACTGAATAATGAAAACTGCAAAAACTGCCAAAAATAGAATCATTTTTAGATCTTGAAACCACAGCTTATACCCCAAAAGTTATTTTGCTACAAAATATCTGATATGAAGATGTTGGTGTGAATCAAATATCTTGGATATTGCAAATTATTTCATCTTATTTATTTATCGATTGAAGTGACATAATTTTGAAAGTACTATTTTAGCAATTCTGGGGGCCAAATATTGGCTCTTATGATACCTTAACCTTGTGAATATTTATCCAACAACAACAAAATGAATAAGAAGGACTTTTTAAATAAAACCCCAAATTCTATGGGATGTTAATCTATGAATTATCTTTTAGATACACGTTTATTTAAGTTCCCTACAGCTGAGGCCAAAGGGGACTTATTTCTGAAATGTCCAAATGTTTGGTATACAGTAATATGATAAGAAGTTACAGATCTAGCATGTCTAGTTTGAGTTTCTTTCCAGTTGAGATATTTTTCCCAAAGTTGTGGCCTTTAGGAAATAGAAAATTACTTTAAAATCTCTGTGTTACCCATTTTTTCTGTAATGGTTGAATCAACTGATTAGACATTTGGTATATAGTCATATTATATGAGGCTACAGATCAAATTCAAGTTTTATTCTGGTTGGTTAATTTTTGCTCAAGGTGTTTCCTAAATGGACATTGAAAATTTCTTGAAAATATCATTTGTTTTTAACTTTCATCGAATGCTTGTGATTTGTTTGTTATATATGTTCTTTGATAAAAAGATT